TCGATGGCAAAGTTGAAGAGGAATGGTGAGATTGAGCAACCCTGCCTAACCCCACTGCTCGAATGGAACAATGGAGAGAGGTGGTTGTATGCCCTCACTCTGCCTGAGGTGTTTTTATACAGGGCTTTTAGGATGTTGATAAACTTCTCAGGCACACCCTTCTTCAATAGACAATCCCAGAGAACAGTCCTATGCAACGCAACGCAGTCAAAAAAGTGAATCAATATAACGTCCGCCATGGCTAAGTATGGCGGTGTTCTAACATTTGGCGGAGGGTGAAGATATGATCAATACATCCTCGACCAGAACGAAACCCAGCCTGCTCCTCGCGAGTCAATCTTTCTCGGGATTTGAAAAACCAACGAAGAATGACGGAAGCCAATAGCTTGGACGCAATCGGAAGTAAACTTATCCCCCGATAGTTGTTACAAGAACGACGTGAACCCTTTTTAAAGATAGGGACAACTATCGACTCATTCCATGACGTTGGTACACTCTCTAGTTCCCAAACCTTTGTAAACAACGTCGTCAATTCCTTAGTCAAAAAGTCACCACCATCTTTAAAAAGAGCCGGAGGTAAGTCATCTGGGCCAGGTGATTTGTAACGCTTCAAGAGTTGGAGGTCCTTGCGGACTTCCTCCTCATTTGGTGGATCAGTCGTCACCGGCCATGGAGGGCAGGACAGTCTGACCGATGTTGCCGGAGCAGCAGGCCAGTTGAACTGCCCTTCGAAAAATTCTGCCCATCGTCCAAGACGTCGATGGATGTTAGTGATTGGCATCCCATCATCCTCGCAGATTGTTTCACTCACACCAGACTTCTTGCTGCCAGTGGCTCGGATGAGCTGGAAGAGCTTCCGGTAGTTACCAGATGCAGCTGCTGCTTCCAGCTCATTAGCACGCATCGACCACCAGGCTTCTCGGTCCTTACGCAAGCTTTGCCCGATTTCCTTACGTTAAATCCTTCGTTTATGGTCAAACTCACGGTTACCCGGATTTTACAGAAAAACTAAACATATTTGCCAAAAAGTATTAGATGAAACCATTTAATGAATGTTCAGAAGCGGGACGTTTCGCAAACCCACAACTGACTGTTCCCGCCATTTTCATGGCGTCATGCAATTGCAACCAATGCTCATCTATACTTTTCGGTGGAGTGGTAGCTAGCCTAGAGGCTAGCTCGGTTCGATACTTACTTGCAACAGAAGTTGCAACCAGCTTGCTAACATCAATCCGTTGATGGCGTTCACTTCGTTGTCCACTGAAAAGTAAGGCAAGATTGGCGCAGACCAAGGCATGGTCAGAGTCCAGATAGGTACTCCAAAAGGAGCGGCAGTCTTGTACACAACCACGCCAGCGGTAGCTGATCGCGATGTGATCAATCTGAGTCCAGGCTTGAGATGCAGAGGGAGGACGCCAGGTGGCACATCGGCGATGACTGTGCCGAAACTTAATGTTAAATAGAAATGGATTTGCACTGCGCAAAGTTGCAGTAGACGGTCCCCGTTATCTGACCTGCGACCAACGAGTCCCCATCGGCCACCTAAACGACTCTCTTCTGTGCCTAGACGCCCGACCTGAGCATTCAAGTCTCCGGCTAGTACTACAATATCTGTCGAACGCACTTTCTGGAGAAGAACTGATAACTGGTGGTAAAACTCATCCTTGATTGCATCCGGGCTGCAATCTGTCGGGGCATAGGCGGAGAGGACGAAAAGACATCGTTTCTCACGCCGATTTCTTCTCACTTTGATGGAACTTTCTAATCTAACAGCACATAACCGACTGTTAATGGGGATCCAATCGACTAGTGCTGCCTCAGCTCTAGCGCTTAGTGCGACACCAACGCCAGCAAGACCAGACGAAGATGCCACAGGGTCCCCGGATAAGCGCACGTAAAACAGGCTTTTCGAAGCGACAGATGGAGATCGAATTTGTAGTACTTCGCCAGAGTCTTGAATACGGGTCTCGGATAGACAACACACGTCGATATTAAGACTTTCCAAAGACATAGCCAGCCCTATCTGTTGTCCGACCTGCATAAATGTGCGAACGTTGAAGGCAGCCAGTTTGAATGATGCACGTGGTTTCAGAAAATCTGCTTCAGTCCTCGTATTCGGTGGTAACATACAATTTACAACCGGACAGTGACTCGAGAACGTTTAGATACAGTCGGAATTCCACCAAAGACGAGCCGCTGTATAAGTATAAAAGAAGGTGAATAATGTGGAAAATAATAATAATAATGATAATAATAACAATAATGACAATAATAGTAGTAATAATAATATTAGTATTAATAATGACAATAATTGTAGTGATCATAATTTGAATCAATTGATTGTTTTTCAAAGCGACAAAGGTAATTTCCATGGACATAGAGTTCATCATTTGTGTGTGGGCTGTGATACTGCCCGGGTGCCCAAACCGAAGCAGGTGGTTATCTCAGGGGGTTACACATCGACTCCATGATTTAAGGGTCTGATCCAAAAAGCAGTGGAGCATCGTAAGGAGATGCAGTCCCATGGTAGCCGGTGACCAACGATTGGATCATACGCCATTCGTTCCCGCAGGATACTGGAGCCCATGTGCACCATTGGTTTGGAATCCGGTTAAAGCGCCGGACATTCGCTTTTCGTCCTCTCATTTTCGTAAACAACACCCCCGCCACGAGAAGGCAATGAGTAGGACTTCCCTGGCAGAGGCTATATACGCGTGGCCGTGTGAGAGTATTTCGAGAGGGAGAGCGGACTCTCCCCACTCTCGGCCGTACCAGGGCATTCAGGGGGATTTCTACAACTCTATTAACTTGTTATCCTTCATTTCGGCCAACAATGTTGGTTTAAGTTTTACTTATACGGACTATAATAACGATTTATTATAACGCGAAACTAAACAGCTGATAAATAACATGAAGTACCCGTTAAATGTAAATTTAAACAGAACCTCATTCATTATTTCATTTTATTACATGTAACAATGTTGCACATTCTAGATATGCAGACAGAACATAAAAAAAGAGCTGTTTGTCAGTTGAATGACACCAAAACAGTATATTGACCACTAATATAGATTATTGGAATAGTTTTTTTTAAATGACAGCTATGTGTACAGAATTTTGTTATTCAGAATCAACGAGTTAAACGCTTTTGAACTAATTCCTTAACTAGAAAATTCTTACAGCTAACTACTGATGAACCACACCATTTGAAGTTCCATTATCTATGTGAACCATGCGAAATGAATCTATCTGAGACCTTTCAGCTACCGACGCACTGATAATTCGATTGCATTTGGCTACAAACAGTTACAGGTATTGAGGCACACAATTAACACATAATAAAATATACCTACTTCGATCTAACAGGTAAATAGTTTGTAAGATAAACTTTATAAACAAAATAAAGTTTAAAAGATGTAATTTTTGTAAATCAGTAATTTGAATGTTTACATCAACACCAAGTTAATAGTCATAAAATCAGCTGTATCTACTGTTGAAATAGGATGGTAAAGATTTCTTGATATTGTTTAATTCTTTATTCAAACACAAAAATATTGAATAAAAAAGATTAGTTCGGTGAAGTGTTTTCTTTTCGGCGAATTCATTTTCAAAGCTGTACAATCGCAAATATATATACTTATTTTACAGGATGATAATGGGTGTATTCCGTTTACAAAAATAATGGTACAAAGGAACACCAAAATAAATATTCGTCATACCACAAAATAATATTTCGGAGATGGAAAAATGAGAAAGAGTAAAAAACAATGAATGAATAAAAAATTAAGTGAACGACAAAGAAAAAATAACAATCGGAGCAGTTCAGTCCAGAAAAATACAGCCAGAAAATCTTTCAGTTAAAAAAGATCCTCTCACTCACATTAATAACGTAAAAGAAAATCACAACACAGTCGTTAATGGCTTGTATTTTCAGTCATATCTAATAACGTTTTAAGGTATTGTGTGGCGCTGTTTTTGGGATTCCAACCAGGGTATCATAAAGGATCAACAGACGTCAGTCATGTACAAATTTCTTTCATACTATGGCACTATGTCAAAAACTGACTACCTCTCAGCTTTTCAGAACCAGTTCCAAAGTCGAAAAGCAATCCGCGATGTAAGACCCATTGAAACGACATTCGTAGTACATGTCTAAGCCACTGAATATAATGCCAAAAATTGAATCGTTTCTGTCCCCCGGCGAATCTCCTCATTACTAATAAAGCGGTGCCATAGAATGTCAGCAATCCTTCGGAGAAAACGATGACCTAACATCACTTATGAGATTAGGTCTCACAAGCATAGAACGATGTTGCTCGTACTAGAGTTGTAAGTGTGGCTTTTACTATGCGTGAACTGATCTTACCACTCACCCCTTTACCAACAGCATTTACACATCTAGCCAGATACACAAACTTCTCGACTACCTCCAAGTGCTTTTTTGGAATCACTTAAGTGGTGGCAGAACCCATCCTTGATAGCATCTGAGCCGCAATCTGTTAGGGCTGATAAAAATCATCCAGCTCTATAAGGGTGGTTTGCATTGCAACACAAATTTTACTGCCTTAAATTTTTAAAAACTAAGACTTTTTGTTGAGCTATTAAACAAATTATAAAATGCACCATATTTAAAACTTCTATCACAACTAAAGGTCCGCTACTAGTGCCTAATGGATTATTGGGAGCAATCGGTAGACCAAAGTTAGCAGGTCGATGAGTGAATGTTTAGGGATAATCCGTTGATTTGGAACCGCTGGTTAAACAAAATACTTGACAGTCGTCTGAATAAAAACCAACACAAATAGAATCATAGGAACGTCTAATAAACAAAATTCTGAAAACCAGAGCCTAGACAAATAGATATGAGTAGTTAAAAATGTGAATGGTAAAACTGAAAGACCTACCGCTAGTACGTTTATGTACAAGATTGCAAAGTGTAGTGTCATACTAAAGCAGATCGCAGCGATAAGCCACATATTATGCCAAGGAGGCATGACCAGAAGCGACTGATTCTCAGAAAGGCTAATAAAATAAAGAAACATAATACAAAATTACCGAAGGAGACACAATGTCGGCCAGAACAGCATATGATGGAAGACGCACAAACACCGGTACAATGAAGCACCAAATGTATATGCACAACACTTCGTCATTTGAAGTGTATGAGGGCTAGAACGCTGTTCGGATGCCCAAACCAAAGCAGGTGGTTTTCTTAGGGGGCCACTCTCCGAGTCTTTTACCTAGAGGTCTAATCCATAAGACAATGAAGCAACATTAGATTCATACGCCATTTCTTCTCTCCGGATTCTGGACCCCATGTGCATTTGACATAAAATAAGACGTAGGATCTAATATACCAATGAACTAGAATTTATTTAAAGGAGACTTTTTCTTAAAATATTATGATAGCGATAACCATACAAGATACTCCGTTTACTACTCTATTTATGAAAGACCTTTAAAACCTAACCAACCATTAGCATCTATACATAATCAACTCACATTTTTTTAAATGGAGATAGTTAGCTTTATACTACTATACGTAATGACAATCAACTAAATTTGTATTCTATTCTTCTTATTTCATATAAATATATGCAAATAATTCCCAACTCTTACCATTTAAAATAATGGTCTGATTTACTTATCAACACCATACAGTGGATAATTTGCTAACACCAACAACTCATTTGAAGGGTTTGCGTAAAAACTATGTTAAGCGTCTGGCGCGAGACTGATAGTTCCTGGGTTCAAGTCCCGCGAGGCGGGGTCGTGGACGCGTACTGCTGAAGAGTCCCACAATAGGACGAAACGACCGTCCAGTGCTTCCAGGTTTTCCATAGTGGTCTAGTTTCAATTGACTCATGATCTCAACTGTTGTAAAAACTATGTATTGATCTCTTTTTTATTATAGAATGACTCGATTTGTCACTGCAAAAACTCAACGATATGGAAGATAGTTGGTCACCATATTTCTGTGCGTAGTTGAACTTGAATAAGTATCACACGTAAAACCTGCGAATGAGGCTTACTGATACATAGTGACTTAGAAAACAGCTTACTATATCTAGTGGACTTAAAACTTGTAAACGAAATGGATAATCTTTATAGCGTCAACCATAAATAACTCATAAATGAGGTAAAAATCAACAAAATGAATTACCTGTTCAATGCGTTAAACATCTCAATCAAAACCAACACAGACAATGCCATTGTCATAGGTTTTGGACTGGCGAATACGCTACAATTAACTCCTTTGAACATAGATGGTTCCAACTGGCATTGCAAATGATGTGTCTAAAAGAAACGAATTGTATTTTAATTCAAAGATAACCATAAAGAAAAGGACAACTGGTACTGAGTAGAAAGAAATCACGGTGTTGAAGGTGTCTCACGACTAGAAATGAAAATTTGAAACTAGGATGACACAGAAAGTAGGAAATATTATCGCTTAAATGAGCCGTAAATACAAATTGACAGAAAACATTTTTGGTGTATCGGATGTAAACGTTACGTAATTTTGTTATTACTACATACAAGTGAGTTCAAAAAAAGATATATTAACTGAAATGTTTAGGTGAACACTTCGCTTCTGTACTACTGCTGTCAAATACGGATGAAACCAGTAGTTACTTCCTTAAAAGAGCTAAAACATAACAGTGTCAGAAATCAATGAGCAATATATGAGAGAAATAAGCTAGTAAGTAATGAAAAATATGAACCAGCAATAATGGTGATTTACTTGGAAATATATAAGTACACATCACATATTAGAGGCTGGGTATTTTTATGTAAGTTTCTATGGAAAATAAAGTGTCATGTTGGTTCCCTTCTATTGTCAAACATTTTTTTCGAAATTCCATATAACTATCTTTTGAAATCTATTATTCTTCCTGTATTTTTCACAAATTAGATTGAATGCACTTTCAACCCTGTAAGCGGATTTACTGAAATCTTTTTTTATTTTATAGATTTTATTTTACTGAACATTAAAAAACACATGATAGTGGTGGACACAGAATGTAACTGTTAGCGCGATATAGATTGGATTGAAACATGTTCCGTGCAGGACTGTGTTGGGGCACGCTATTGTCTATTTCTTAACCAATCAGCGCTAGTGAACACTTAGAGAAAACTCCAGAATTTTGTGTAAAAATTATAAACATTCTAACGATTTTTTATTGTGATTCCTACTCCCATCCAACACTTTTATTTGGAGTATAACTACGTTCTTATTCAAAAATGTTTTGGTTTGGGGACCTGTCGAGCGAAGTAATGTCCAGGAATACTAAGCGATAGGAGTAGCTAGGTAGTGATAAGAGAAATTATAACAGTAACTTTACACTTAATTTTACCAACTGACAGCTATATAGCGATACCAAGTAAAACCTATCAGTGGGATGACGAAAGCATTGATAAAAATGATAGGTGTCAAAAACGTCCATTGTTTAAAATTAGGGATGTATAAATTGCATAAAAATAGTAAAATGCATTTTCTATGGAAATGTACATACCAGCTGATAATAGTTCACTTTGGGACCGCCCTCATAGACCATGAACCACCAGGCTGCTGCTCCAACTGTTGCACACCCAACATAGATGCCTATCAACATGTATCGAAGAAATAACCAACCGGAAATTAATGGTTCTTTGCTTTTACGTGGTGGTTTAGTCATTATATCAACATCAGGAGGATTAAATCCTAAGGCTGTAGCAGGTAAACCATCAGTCACTAAGTTAACCCAGAGTAATTGTACAGGAATCAAAGCCTCAGGCATTCCAAGAGCAGCAGTCAAGAAAATGCAGACAACTAAGACGAGAAAAATAAGCAAAGACATGGTTTATCACTAAAAGTTTGTGGTTAGTCTAAAATATAAGAAATTACAATACTTGTTTTATTGGTTGCACAAGGTCTACTAAAAACAATAATTTGTTTCAGACGGTTGCAAAACCTACGATAAACGGATTTTGAAGTCTGTAACCATTGAAGAAATTGATAAAGATTAAATGAAACTGAAGTAAGACATTTTTACTCTAATAACTTATGAACAGCGGCAACAAAAAGAAAATAGAGATGAAATGGAAAATTCAAGGAATTATGATACTCCTAAACGCAATACTTTTAGGGCCGAAAGTTGATTGAGGTACATATAAAGTTTTATGAATACTAGTTTGAAGACATCTAAATATTCTTAGTTGACTTTCCTCAAGCGAAGGTACTGATAAAATTTCATTTATGAACTTTAATAAATTACTATACAATCTAGTGGCAAACAAATGAACTTACCTTCGCCGATGTTAGACGAAATAAGGTAACGGATAAACTGTTTCATGTTATCATATATAGCTCGGCCTTCTTCAACGGCCGCAACAATTGTGCTAAAATTATCATCTGCTAGTACCATGTCAGAAGCAGATTTGGCAACGGCAGTACCACTTCCCATAGCAATCCCAATTTCCGCCTTCTTTAGTGCAGGAGCGTCATTAACACCATCTCCAGTCTATTAAGACATTAAAAGAGTAAGCGAACTTTAGCATTTAGAGACAGCAATACAGTATCGAACGAAAATTACACAATAGGTAGTCATCGATTCATTACAAACGAGGTTGAGTGGTACATTTTTATTTAATTTTTGCATCATCCAGTTGTCTACACTGGAACACTGTGCATGTGCCGAAACCGAAACAAAGATTGCCAACCACGAAGGTTGTTTTGACAAGCTACCCCAGGTGAGTTATTCGCGATAAAAACTTGAAAAACAAAGAGATAGACATGACCGAATTGACTAGGGTTAGACGATTGGGATAAGTAATAAGTGCTATCGCTTCAACATGACGAAATAACTCAGAGATATTTATGTGTTTATTTTGCGGTTGTATAAGAAAAGCTGACCTATGTAAGATAGAAACACTTGATGCCATACCTGGAGGTTAGGTAGAATTACAAACAATCGAAAAATCGACACTTGACATCAAAATATTTGAAACAGAAACAACGATGAGTAAAATCAGAGTTATTTCAAGAATACAAAAAATATATCGAGTATGTATGAAATTACCACGACAAAAGGATGACGAAATGCGTTGCATACGTAGCACATTAAAGTGAGAAAACGCAGGTCAAATGTATAACATCTTGACATAAACGTATGGATATTTTAGATTAATTAAATTCTGAAATTCAAGATACAATAAGAAATAACGGTACGCGAAGAAATCTGAAAATTAATGGCTACCACAAGATCTCGGGATGTATTCAGAAAGTTCGCCTGGCAACACATGTAGCGTAGACAAGATGTCTATTTTTCATAGTGAATATATACGACGCAACAGTCCGCTCTGAAAGAATTTATGGCTGTGAAATAAAGGCAGTTTCTTTGTCTTTTCTATCCATATTCTTGACGCAGTCATTATTATTGCTACATTATTACGACTTCCTTGTTAATGTTATCTTATCAAACTAATAGGGGATAGCAATTTGACCGAAGCATACTAGAGCTGGGCCCTTATGACTAGCCGACAACCACAATGAATTCGTTCGAACAGGTTCGAGTCATTCAGCTGTAGTCGGGCAATTACCTGTACCATAAGTCACAACTAAAATTTGTAATTTCACCGACCATATATGTTTTACCACCTAGAATGAGTTACAACTTTATGTGAGACCAAAACCACTAATTAAAACGTGAGGCGTTTTAGCTTGTCACAAAAATTATGTGGTAAGATACACAGTTTACATGGAACGACATTTACTTAATAGCATTAGTGATAAATATATATATATATATATATTAGAGAGAGAGAGAGAATGAAAAAGTATAAAGACTTACCATCGCAGATACTTCACCATCCTGCTGTAGGAATTGTACTATTAGACTTTTATGGGCGGGTTCAACGCGAGCAAACAACTTTCCGTTGCGTACTGCATCCTTTTTCTTTTCTAAACTGAGGTCATCGAATTCTCGTCCCGTGAAGGACTTTCCACAAGTATCTTCTTTATCTTCAAACAATCCTATACGACGGCATATAGCTTCGGCAGTTGCTTTATTATCGCCTGTAATAACAATAACACGGATGCCAGCCTTTTTACAAGCTTGGATACTGCTGGCAACCTCACAACGTGGCGGGTCCACCATACCAACAACACCCACAAGAGTTAATTCAGTCTGAAAATGAAAGCCATTAGAAGTAATTGGTGTAAGCTTGTGATACGATGGAGTGGTAATAAGTTGTTAGAAAATGATCGATCAAAAAGAAAGGGCCCAAATGCGTAACACACAATAGATAAGTATACCGTTCACTTGTAAACTTTTTTATATACAGGGATATACGAATACACTGTACCATACCACATAAAATCTCAAAGCAAATGAACAACAATTCATCATCCCTGCTTATTCTTCAATTTAGTTTGAATGTAACATGTGTTATACACCTGAATGAAACCTGAAACTGTTTTTTAAACATTAACCAAACTGCGTACAGAGGGAACTAAAAACACATCACAAACGTTGTTCGAACTTAAATCTCCTTGCATCAAGCACTATACAACTAATAATGGTAAAAAATAAAAACAGGATCACTATTTGAGGAACTAAATGCAACGAGAAAGAACAAACATAACTTACCTCATAATCCTTGAAATTTTTTGGATCTTTTAAATCAAAGTGAGAGTATGAAGGTGGTTCATCTCTTGTAGCTAAAGCCAAACAACGAAGAGTTTCACGTCCAGTGGCGTAGGTAGCTATTTTTCGAAGTACTTCGCCTTTTAGCTCAGACGTTAACAATAATTTGCCGCCTGTGGTGCGTACATGAGTGCATCTATCCAATATGGACTCCGGGGCGCCCTTATCAAAATGCACGTAGTAAGAAAAGGAAATAATTCCATACAAATTCTTAATAGTTCAATAAATTTATATATCTAAAACACTGATTAAAAAAGCTATTTTGAGTGAAGGCGAGTACAGCTCAGGTTTGCTAATTGTTACTAAGCGAGATCGTTTTAATTAAAACACATATTGTGCACACATTTCAGAGCACTAAGATCAATAACATTTACTTCGCTTCTATTGTTAAAAGCGCTAAATTTCCACCAATACCACTTTTTTATACAAGCATTTAGTAATATATATGAAGCAATTCCTTTTTAAACCATTTAATTTACTAGGATTGAAGAAACGTTTGACTGAAAAAGCACGAACTCAGACAAAATAAGATTACCTTAACAAAGAGCTTTTCTTTAGAGCCAGAAATTTGACTTCGAGGGATGACATACGTAGACATTGACTTCCTATCCCGAGAAAACTCAAGAGTAAATTTTCTTTCATACATTTTCTACAATAGAAAGAAAAATACCGAAATAAATCACAGAAATTCAGTAAAACATAACTAAGAAGGTCAACTACCTGGATATCGCGATTACAAATCATTGCAAGCTGGTGATTAGTAAGATTTGATTTAGAGACTTTTGTGACATTCATTTTCTCAACCAAGCAGACCAATGCAGTCTCAGTCGCTTCACCCACTTTTTCATATGCATGCCGAGATTCACTGTATTCCACAGACGAGTCATTGCACAAAGAACATATTTGCGCAAGTTCTACAAGACAAGGATATTCAGAACAGTCTATTTTTCGTCCTTGATGGTGCCTGAAAATACGAAAGTAAGGTTTTATTAAAGTGAATGCTTTGGAAAAATACTAGCATGAATATCAATCGTGAGAGAACGGTGATATTCTTATGATTAGACACAAAAGCGCCAACTTGCATATTAACTCACTGGTTGAGGGTAGCTACATATATTAAGGTAAGGGAAACTAATTCAACATAACATTTACATCAGCTAGATACCATATTTTCGAACGCATTAACAGTACAAATAGTTCAATCACTTTCGATTTCTCTGGTGAATTGTTTATAGTCTTACATAATGAAAACACGTCATGTTTCTACTTTATCGATAGCTAATGAGTTTTAGATTTATTTCCAAATTAACGCTGATATTTGTGGTCGACTCAACTCCGATGTATGTGCGTGTATAGTTTATGCTGAACAGAACCTCAATAATTAATTCAGAAGCCTTAGTTATTCAGGAAGACACTGTGAGAGGCTTTAGAAAGGTTGATTTGTTTTGCTTGTCACGATCAGTACACTCTATATACCAAGATTGTATTAATAGATGATCAGAAAATGGCACACCAATAAAACACGAAAACTAAGCTGAAACCTACACATTTCCTTCTGGAGCATATTTAGAACCCGTAATTTCAAACTCATCAAATTTTAGCTGCGAAGCATCACCGACCCGACTCTCGTTACCGAAAGTGAACATTCGGCAAACAGTCATTTGGTTGGTTGTAAGGGTACCGGTTTTGTCAGAACAAATCACTGTTGTACACCCAAGAGTTTCAACACTTGGTAATGATCGGACAATAGCATTTTTGCGAGCCATTCGACGGGTCCCCAAAGCTAGACACGTTGTGATAACAGCCGGTAGACCTTCCGGAATCGCCGCTACGGCAAGCGCGACTGCAATTTTAAAGTAGTAAACAGCACCTCTGAGCCAAGAACCACCATGCACTGGGTCGTTAAAATGGCCAATGTTAATGCACCATACAGCAATACATATGAGTGTTATGACCTACAATAATGAAAAAAAGTTGTGTTTTATGAAAAACATGACTGAAATTAATTTGAAAACTTAAGTAATAAGGATTAGAAAAATTACAAATCGACACTAGAAACATTTCGTAGTGGAAAAATCACGAAACGTAAAAACAAGCAGAAATTAATTATATACCTTTGATAACTGTGTTCCAAATTCATCTATTTTCTGCCCGAGAGGAGTTTTATCTTGTTCTGTATGCATGATTTGATCACGAATTTTGCCTATTTCTGTTGAAAGTCCGGTCCCGACTACTACTCCAACACATTTTCCGGAGGCTACATTTGTACCGCTAAATAGCATATTCTTTTTGTCTTGATTGACAGCTCGAGCCTGGGATATAGGGTCACTGTGCTTTGAAACTGATACTGATTCACCAGTTAAGATAGACTGATCAATGAGAAGTGTTGTAGACAAGATTTTAACGATTCTAATATCCGCTGGAACCCGATCTCCAACTAAATAGGCAAATCAATAAAATGAAACTTAGAATACTTTGATAATTATTGACCAGCAAAAATCCAATATATACCAATGCATACAAAGAATTAAGGTACCTATGATATATTAGGCAAAGAACAAAATTATTTTGCCAGTGCATTGATTTAACCCAGATGTGTCTGCAACGAGTAAAATAAGACTTCCTCAGGGGGAAATCAACATTTAAACCCAAATCAAAAGCAATTTACAGGCTGTCAAAGACACTGGTACATATTATAAGTACACAAACCTATTTGTTCATTCCACTGTGGTACAACAGAGAACTTGGTCAAAGGGATCCTTAAAACATTATTCACACTATTTTAGTGTATTACAGAACCGCCATCAGTGTAATTAAATGCGGTTTAACATATTACAGATAAAGATTGTTCAGTTATGTGAGCAGTTTTGAGGTCTTTTTACAGATAAACACCCCATGACAACCTATCGGCAAAAAGCCATTGATTTTGTAAGATAACATTAATTAACGGCAGTCAGATAACACAAATTTGTACGGGTTGGCGAAGTGACATGGTTATAAGATATTTTTCAGACATCGGAAAAGTGGTTTGTCAAAGTCATCATCGCACAATGTTTCAGCGTCGATCAACCCAAGGATTTTAATTACCTGTTTTTCGCTTTTAACATTATAACAGGTGGGTGATTTTGTTATTGATATTCACGCAATTCAATACAAGCCACTTGTGCTGTTTAATTACACTCAGGAAAAAACTCACTGACAAAACAGGTATAACATACCAGCAACTTCCACAATGTCTCCAGGCACTAATTCACGGGCTTTCACACTCTGCACACCTTGATAACCCTGACGAATAACCTTTGCAGTATCTGACTCATATTCTTTTAAGGCTTCTATGGCTGACTCAGCGTTACGTTCCTTAATTTATAAAACCTAATTCGGGACGACTTACCTGCCAAACACCAACGATTGCATTCACGATTAATATGAGCATTATGACAACTGGCTCGACAAACGCAGTAGTCGCATCTTCGCTATCTTCAAACCAGGCCAAGACCTAAAGTGAAACTGTAAAAATACATCGTGATGGATTACAAATGAGATAACAGCTGCTAGTAAGAGAATTTTGACCAAGAGGTCGTCGAACTGTTCAAGTACCAATTTCCAAAGAGGCTTGTTTTCTTCCGGTGGTAACTCTAAAAGAATGTCTATTTTTAAGAAGAACAAACCATTGTAGCCATACTCCTTCAAAGAGGATTCAATCTGCTTTTTAGTTAAACCAGTTTCAGTGTTCGTATTGTAGTGCTTTAGGACATCATCAACTGTACAAGAATAAGCTTCCTCCAACATGTCAAGCTGTATCCTCAGAAGTTGGCGCTGCTAGCAAACCTACGTGGGAGCGCCATGAACATGATTTTTGACGCAGTAAAACTTTATCTCAACAGCTATGATGCAAATATTTTTCAATCTCAAAATTTAAAACATAGCAACCTTTCTGACATTCTAAATACGAGAGAGGTCGGTCTCAAGCTGGTAAAATTAGGCTTGAATGAGAATGTAACTACTTTTACATATGTCAACTAACCATCAACTTTTATAGAAAAAGGCCTTGAAGAAAGTTGCGTTATTTACTTACAAATCTAGGTTATCATTGACGAAATTTAAGCATAAGTTACCTCCTTCTTGTAATATTGATATTTAAAGTCAGGCAATTTAATGAACTTTGAAACCCTGTTCATTTGAATTAGAAACTGTACAATAGGTAGTTGACATAAGCGTGTAAAATAATTTAAAAAGTTTTGCGTTATTGAACTTTTAAGTACCACCACATCTTCGATGTTGCTTCTGTCTAGTCAAACTAATGGTCCAGTGTAACATCTCTGAGCCCTGGACAGCGGTCCACCAGACTTAGCTGTTCCTCTATTAGACAACAGGTCGCTGATCATTAGATAGTCTACTGAACATTGTTGAGGTCAAGGATGACTAGCGTGGATCAATTCCATTAATCAATTGCATGCCTTGTACAGGCGCATGAGGTGGTTTTTCTCATTCGTACCATCGTGATGAGCTAATATTAAGATATGGAGTTGCTTATAGAGAGTATCTATTCTATCCAGTTAATACGTCAAACAATTCATCTGGTTGTCAGAATAACACAATCACGGTTAGGTATAAACAATGGGAAAGATATAACTTGAACTTGGGCTGGGTGGTCACACAGTTCGCATTAGACTCGAGTAGACTGCGATCACCTACGTCGGTGGTAAACGATTTGAGAATACGGCAGGAATCGGGCATGTATTTTGATCTATATAGGTTTCGGGCTAATCTGCATGTCGTGCTAAGTAGCCTTATGTAAAGTAACACTAGTAACAATGACCCGCTTTCGTTCAGTTGCAGGTAACAGATTTAGAGATGTGTGAATGGTATGAATAACATTCACACGATTAGATACAAATACGTCCTTCACAGTTTACATAGATCTAGTGTGCAATGACCGATGTTTCACTGTGAAAATATAGGAAAGAGGAAACATCTACAATTGTAATACAAAGGCTGCATGGTTCTGTAGTGTTAACGGTTCCTGATCACACGATCTTTGAAACTGAGAGTATAATTACTGAGATTCATATTCAACATATAACACTAAGAGCGGGTCAACAATGGTGAATGTTGAAGCAATTAATCAAAATGGCATTGCTCTTGCTTGTCAGTTCAAATATATTACTCTCGTCTCAGTTCTTAAGAAATATTGGATGTCATAGTCCTGATCGCCACCACAGGACGAGTCAGTGAGAAGAGTAATGTTCTTTCCACTTGAGATCTTATAGATAAGGTAGTCACATCATAACAAGTAATTTTGGGATTAGGTCGATTATTATAGTAGTACAAATAACAAACTAGGCCATAATTCTTAAGTTTTCCGTGAGCCATGAGGTTTGAGAGGTCAGCTTTATTCATATTTCTTTATCAAAGACTAAGAAGTGGTTCAATTGTGATTTATGGAATACAAAGACATAATTTTGGGCCTGAACCTCGGTTCTTTTTCACGCTAGACCTGAACAAATAAGACGGCTCAGCCAAGAACAAAAGAATACATAAAGCCAACGTCACTAGTGGATAATGCTGTTCCACTAACCTATCCTATGAGCCTACAAAGTAGGGGACCTCGGTGACAATCTTTGCATATTGTCCTTCTTTAACTTGTCATCCCAAATCTTCCTGATAAAATCTTATCTCTCAGTTAATTAGACTAACGAAGCAGCATATCCTGGGACCGGATTTTGATTGGATCAGCCAAGAAGTCAACGAATAGTCTAGCCTCTAAGCAAGATTAGGTAAGTCAATGTATCATATCATTTTGCTCCAACTCAAATGAATCCGAACTTAGGATTAAACAAAATCAGCAACTTTATCACATCAATAATTGTTAGACATTCATGAGTATAAGACAGCCAGTTTTCTGGGCACTCAAAATGATAACCTAACTGGTTTCAAGGATAAAGCTTGCAAATACTAATAAAGGACGAAATAAAATGAATGTAACTTATACTGACTGCCAGACCTTTTCTTTGTATCAATTGTCTTTTCAACAACTATATGCTCGGCTTCAAAAGTCGTATGGTTAAGGTCCGATTCCACTACAAATTCACTGGCTATTCTCACTGAATATGAGCTTCTGCTGTGTTTAGTAAAATTGTAGTGGACGAAGACTTGGTGGAGAAAACCGATTTGTCTAAAGCGTGATTACAGAGTGCTTTCGTAAAATGTAAAAATCATACATTAAACACATCATTTGCGCCTCTCCCTTCAGTTTCCTTTACTTAAATTATGATTCTTTCAGTTCCGTTGATCTGATAATCACTCAGAACTTTCGTTCCTGTTCTCTGCAAATCAATTCCCTTGCTGTTACATACCATATATACCTGTCAAAATAAAAAGCACCTCGAAACCAATGGATATGACACCATTTACAGCCGCATTTCCAAATGTGGAGATATCATAGCTTGTTACGGGAGAACTGAAGACATTTGGCGGATTAAAACCTTTTATTGTACATTAATAATTTACTGTGCTTTTGGATGTAATTGTTTTACTTAACTTGTGAACTTGTTTGTTTATATCATTATTTCGGACATTTTGGTTTGTCTTTGGTTTGGTATTTTGGTGCTCTCTTTGTCTTTGGTTTGATATTTGGGAGTTTTGCTCCGGGAACCTACAAAATTGAAGGTTTGTTTTGTAATTGTTATAATTATTGTTGTTAGAACGACATTTGGTCGACTATTTGTAAATTACGAATAAATTTGGTATCTAAATTGGAACTTGGTTTTGTTGTTAATTTGGGTTCGTAATTTGCAGGTAGATCGATAGTCCGTACTTCAATAACTGGAACGAGCAAAACTTGGACGTAACAAAGCTATAGATGAGATGCTAGCACTGTTGGACAAAACCGGTGATGTCGAAACTGCATATATTTTGGTACCCCTTTGGCAAAACGTGACAGCGTCGAGCTTTCGTCTTTGAACCTATCGATTTGCCAATCCTACGCTACTTAGAGCGGAGCATATAATTAGAACAGTAGAACAATGATATGCCGCATGAATTACCCGTTACCTATTCGACTATCTGGATCACCTATTTTTCCAACCGTCCAGATACCGCAACAAGTTTCTTCTCTTAGTTCGTTTTAACTTACTGTGTCTGTAGGCCTCATGACATATTCGCTTGTTCATATAAAAATCCACAACTGATTACTATGTGAATTACGGCAAAATACAACTGAAGATGTTGAAGTGGCTGGTGATATGAATTAAAAACAACGAACGCCAATAGGATGTATGTTCCGGAAATAATAACTACCAATTCGAAATGATTTGTTGGCAAAGTGATCCATACTCAATTTTTGCTAAACATATTTTGGCTACGATTTCTATACGTATCGTAATTGTGGTGTAATCACAATCAGAGGACTCGGGTTGATTGATTTACATAACAGTATTTTAGTGTTACTAAATGTATCGTGTTTTCAGTACTTATCTTCGGAATCAATCAAACAATAAGAAGTGATCAGGTGGTAAGGCCACACCTTTCATATGTGAACATGAGTCGATGCAACCATAAAACGTCTGAGCTTTCAAACGACTTTGTCGACTTTGAACTATAAGATGACGCTTAAAACACAAATAAAACACTTATGTTCATGTCACCAATGCTTGAATGACTGCGTACTATAGTTCGTCATGACCATTCATTTTCGTTAATGATTCCACGTTGATGAAAAACACCCAGGCTCTGAAAAACTTATTTCATATGATAAACTGAGATTAATGCACAAATCGCTTTTCACAAAACATCTTTGGTGTTGTTAATTCTTATATTCAAGTCTTCTCAGATATTTCTGATTCTACTTGGACGACATTTGTACTTGAATGTGATCTGGTGGGAATGTCTAACCCAGAGCCTTCAGCGAGGATGTGTCTAGTAATTAAGTGTGATGATCATATGTATCTGAATTATTATACGAACTCGTAATCCCGGAAACAGCAGAATTTAGACCAAGAAGAACAAGGTGAGCACAAACAAACGTATTGCGATTGTAATTCGAAATCAGACAGTCATCAAGTACAAAGAAAACATTAGTTCATACAAACACCAAATGAAGTCGGTATCAACGTTTATTACCTACTGAACTATTTAGTTTGAGAGTTTATTCTCCGCTCCAGAACTGCGTTCAGGCTGCAAGCCCCTGATTAAATGTGACTCAGATATCCTGGAAGAGATGAAAAGCGCAGCTACTCGTGTAATTACAGAACTCCGGGGTTGGGAACCTGTTACCTGAAGCAATAGTGTCCGCATCTTCAATTGAATCATTCAGGAAAAGACTATATACTCACAGAAGCATAATAGACAAAGAATAATCTAGGCCGTAGGCTTTCTATCCTTACTACACAAATTTGAATCTGAACGTTACGTTGTAGTGACCTACTTTTATCACGAGAACGCGATTGGTTTAATGAAAACAACTGTTATTTATTATAACCAATTGTACCTGTGCTTGTTTTAGTGTGCTTTTGTATAACTGTGCTAATGACATTTTGTGCTTCCATTACTCTCCATTACTGTTTCGCGGTTCGTGACCTCCTTCGCATGTACTTTCTCCTGCCCACTCCGCTTGTACCTTTTCTTGACACGACCTCGGTATTCGCTCGATACCACGAGATCGCCAACGAAATAAACTTGGTTCTAATTCGCGTTCGCCTTCTGATTTACTTGGCACGTGTTTCTTTGAAGTGGTGTTCATAGTCAACTGGGACTCGACACCACGCTACAACGTTATCGTAAGACAGCTT